AGATTGCCATAGCTCCAAAATTAAGCATCTCTATAAAAGAGTCTCAAGAATTTGAGTATCGAAGCACCGAAGAGCATAATACTACAGTGTTGAATTATAAATTCAAATGCTACAGCACTTAACCTTCTGTGCACTATAGTGAAGTAGTTGACAAAATGTGTAACCGTAATAAATTAGCATAATGATTGGTCAGTTAAGCCAATAGCCTCACAGGATCATTCCAGTGCCATAGGGGAGCCTACTTAGTAGAAAAAAGATGCTAGTTTATATTGTAATACTATGGAGAAACTATGTCTAGCACCGTTAAGCCTGAGTCTATTTATGTAAGTAATATAAGTAGCTTTTAAGTTATTTTGTGAGTGGGTTATATCATTTCAATGAATCATGAGTGCTTAAGTGTAGTGTCACCTTAGAGTCAAGACTAAGGGGGACTAAAGGAGAAAAATATATAATAGTTTGAATGCTTGGCCAACCTTTTTATAAGAAAGAAAGAAGTTAAAGAGGCTAGATTGTGGAGAGTGAAGTTGTATTATCCTGGTGATTTCTTTTTATACTTTTCTCCTTATACTTTATTTCGAATGTAATTAATAAAATCTATTTAATTTTATTTTAATTCCACGGCTAGGTAAAACTCCTAATTTATGGCTAATGATCTGAAACCTTAGTAATTACTAATATAGAATCTTATGCTTTAATGAATTAATGGATATTATCAATATCTTCTTCTCTTATATTAATCTTTTCAATGAACATGTGTAGAGTTAAAATATAGAGTGATATATTGCCTTGATGGAGGAATATTAAAATAATTAAGATTATTGTAATGAAGCTCTTGCACTCCTAGACATAGGATGTTTAGTGTTCTAGAGTATGGAGAAATAATAACAGTAGGAGGGTTATAAACTTTTCTTCACTTCCTTACAAGCTGGATAGAGAGTTAAGGATGCATAAGTTCTTATTCACAGCCAACATAGGAGAGTCTTCTTAGGAGAGTTTTGAAAATTCATTGACATTAGTCCAAAATACTTTATTGACATGTATCTTATCTTTCATCTGCATTTGTTAGTCAGGACAAAATCCTAACCAAATTTTTATTGTGTACAATAAGCATTGTAGCTTAAATAGACATTACTAACACATTTTGCAATAAAGAAAAACTCTTACTAGTGGGATTGACACTCTTTCATATCATTTTTAGTTACTTGATTAACATGTGCACTTGCATTAATTAATTTGGATTTATATCAAAAAAATTATAAGCATATTTCATGCACCTTTACTAGCTATCCATCTTTGAACCCCTATAAAAATTGCATGTTTGCATTATTTACTTTCATACATTTTACTTTCTTCTTGCTTATTTATTTTGTATATTATTGTGACAAATTGGATTTTGAATATATAATAATTAATCTTTTGCATAGAGTACAAAACATTAATATATATGCTTTAAACATTTTATTTTCTTAGCTATTACACAATACTAAAATTTTAAATATCAATTCTCCCCCAATCTTTGTGTACTACAGCACTTAAAATTCTTCCTTCTTGTAGGTCTTTGGAAAGGCTCAAAGATATCATTAATTAATCTCAACCACCTTTCAATTTGGGAACTTTTAACTAGTTAGGATAATAATTTAAAGCAATACATCATCATGAAGATTCACTACTAAAAATATGAGTTTTAGACATCAACATATATATCTATGTTGTATAAATAGCGGTCATAGATATGTTTAGGCATCAGTTTTAATCAGTGCTAAGAACTACTTCATATCATTCATGAAAGAAGGTCGTAGAGGTCGTTACTTGCCCTCGCTCCATGCATTCCCTCCTTCGTCCACCTGAGCTCCATTCAATGAACATCCACAAGCGACCTACTCATCCCAATGCCAAATTAATTCGCCACAGTTGTCGAATCTGAGGTCATGGAGGTCATCCTTTACCCTACTTTGGTGCATTCTCTCCTTTGATTTATTGCTCTTTCTGCCCCAAGTTCATTCGGTGAGCAACCACGAGCAGCCCGCTTGTTCTGACACAAAATTAATCTACTGCAGTCTTCGAATCCTTCATCACAATCGAATTCTCAATTGCCTTTCATTTTCTCGACTTCTACAATTGGTTGTCATCTGGTTAATAGCCCTAAGTCACTACAGTACCTTGGGTAGCACCTAAACTATAGCATTTCACCATATTTTCACAATATATGTTGTTCTATTTGAGTTATTTCATATATGAGATTCTAGAGATCCTAGAGATCTTTTTTTATTGTTGGCTTGTATTGTAAACGATCTCGATTCCTTGTTGGCCTAGACGACAAGCAGTAAATTTTTGGGATTTTTTGTTACTTTGTCATGAAATATGGCAGGTTGATTATTCACTTCTTTAAGTTTAATATTTATCCTATTTTATTGTGTATGGACATGTTTGTTGTTCGGCGATGGCTACGAGCGATCGTTGGATTGAAACATGATTACTCTAATCAGTTTGTTTTGTTGTTCCAATATTAGATTTCATTGATGGCATTCCTAGAACTTTTTTTTGTTGCATCTTTGTCTGATGTTTTATTCTTCTTCCTTCCACACCAAAAGATCTTGGGTATCTAATTGCCGAATTGTTTAATTTTATGAGTTTGATGTAATATGTAGTCATGAGAAGAGGGTTAAAACCACTGCTATAGCTTTTGCTACCAAAAAATGAATAAAACATAGTGGTTCAATGAGTGCTGGGAAAGCTATTTGCAATGCTTGCATATACAACAATTTTACAATGCTTTCTAAACCACAACAAGAAATATTGATGAGGTTTTAATCATTGTAGTAGGTCAAAAAAAGTGATATGAAAATTAAATTTATTATTAGTAATTAATTTTAATTTGAATTCATTTATTCAATCACTTTTGTCATTAATATATAATGGAAATATATCCTTGTTGGGGAAACGAAATGTCATGCCTCTAGCACTCTTATTTGTATGCTCTAGCCAACAGAATCAAAGAAAGATGAAAAATAATATGGGCATGTGCTGCAAATGCAAATGGACCTGAACTTTGACTCTCGATTGATTTGATGAGTTCAGCAATCATCTGAAATGCTTACCTACTGAGCTTTTTCTTTTCTCTCCGTCGTAGGGAGAGATTTGTTTGCCTCCATTCTCATTATTGATGTAGACTTTCTAATTTACAGATTGTCATTTGAAATGTAAGTTTTTTTATTTCATAAATTTGCATTAACTATGTCCAGCTTTTTTTACTACTCAAATGTTCATGAAATATTTAAATTTAAAATAAAAATTTCTATTCCTTCAAAATGATCTTATTAAAATTTGCAAACAGTGGTTCAATTTTTGAATTTGGAGATAAATATGTAAATATATTTATTAGAATGGTATGATATAATTTTTTTATTTTTTGGTGCAAAAAAAGAAATATTTCCCTTTATTTGCATTTTATTTCATATTAAAATATCCGATTTTTGCTTGGTTGGCTATGATGGATGGATTAAAAATAACATATAATAATCTTATTTTGAGAAATATATTGTGGATACTCTTTGCAATCTATGTTATATGGGTATTGAATCTTCATATATTCTCTAATTTTAATGCAACTTCAGTTTAAAAAGAATTTGAAAAACTATTCCGGCACTAAAATATATTCTGCTAACGCCGAATTTAACACGGATATTGAAATTTTTTTTTTAATAAATAAAATCGAATTTCCAAAAAAAAAATGTAAACTACGTTATTTATGAGTACGTGAGGTCGACTCCTCCGACTGTCCGACATGCCAGCTATCAGGATGGCAGTATTCAAATAATAAATTGACTAAATAAAAACATATAAATATTCTAAAAGGGGTTATTTAAAAGAAAAGAGAAAGGAAATTCGAATCAGCAATCACCACTTTCCATTGGCCAATGCGGGCGGAGTTGGAGCCCCACGCGCGTGCGGGTGCTGCACGTGCGTTTTCCACCGTGTCCTTAACGCCGTTAACTAAAGTGAAACGGTGAAGTGGAAAAAAAGGTTGTTACGGCGATTCTTGTTAATCATCCATCATCGCCTAAATCCCTCCACATGCGACCCTTTAAAAAGGGGAAGAAAAGATTATAGAGGATCAGAGCCGTCCGTTGGGATTGGAAGATATCACGAGAGTCGTGTGATGGCCTGATGGGTTTAGGATATGGCATCTTGGACGTTTCCCGATTCGGCCCAGCAAGAGTGAGCCCACACTAAGTGGCCAAATCTTGGGCGGATTACGGAAATTCATTGAAGAGAATAACTCTTGGTTTGAATTCGTGATCCCCCAAAGTCATTAATTTAAAAATTGTAACTATATAAAAAAAAAAATTATCTAAAACTTTCCCATTTATTTGCTGAAATTAACGGCATTTTAAGCATAATAATAGTTTGCTTACTCTCCTTTCTATTAAAGGATAGTAAATTGCATAAATTAATTGGTAAGTAAGCTTTTTTTTACTCGCAGTCCTCTCTTTAAATTAAAAAAAAAAAAAGTTTATGTACCAAAAATTTATAAAACTGACATTTAAATCGCACTATTCTAATATAATTTTAGGATCAAATAAATTAATTTATAGAGCACCGCGTATTTTTTGGGAAAGTGATAAGTTATTATCATTAAATCCTTTAACCATGATTCATTTATTTTAAAATAACGATTTATTATGTATAATTTTTAAATGCCATTTTTAATAGTATATAGCTTTTTATTCTATTGTACTTTTTATACAGATAAAAAATTTGAATTTTCATAAATTAAAAAGTTTAAAAAATAAAATCCTCTATTTTGGTGTCAATGTAGCATTCTAACCGAAAAATAAATTGATTGATTCTTAATATTACATGAATTTCATTGCATTCTTTTTAAAGATTAATTACTTGGGTTCAACTTTGATGTGGCCTCATGTGAATTTCGTAAATGTGTTTAATATTACTCTTACCAAGAAAAGGGTAAAAATATGGAGGATGTTCTCCCTCATCTCTGGTATTAATATCTCCCGGCTGGTAACGCAACTTGTCCGCAACTCCATTCACCCTGAAAGGGGCGAGAAAACATAGCTGTGTTTTGTTTTCTCTGCTCTCGCGTTCTCAATGTGATTAGGCAAGCAAAGGGCGCCGACCGTTCTGAAGTCGAGAAACGCTAAAAAAAATAAACAAGTGCCTTCCCACTGCGATGTGCAAACCAAGCAGCGCTACCATATCGCGGGCAACCGTGGCGGAGGAGGTTATGGCCGCCGTCGTCGACGCCGCGCCGCTGTATACGCTTCTTCCCATTTCGAATAAGTGGAAGAAGAAGACAATCCTGACGGAGGAAATGAACAAGCTTCTTCCCCTGCCATCAGTTTCAGAAGCAATAAAGGAGGCAGCTTTACTTTTTCATCTCTCGTTTCCCATCGCTCTCACTGCGCTTTTCCTCTACTCCCGCTCAATCGTATCCATGCTCTTTCTTGGACTTCTTGGAAACCTTCCGCTAGCCGCCGGATCGATGGCCGTCGCCTTTGCGAACATCACAGGATACTCTGTTCTCTCTGGGCTATCTCTTGGGATGGAACCTCTCTGTTCTCAGGCGTTCGGAGCTAACCAACATAAGCTTCTTTCCCTCACGCTATACCGCTCTATTCTTTTCTTACTCTGTTCCTCGATACCAATCTCGTTTCTTTGGATATATATGTCAGAAATCCTTCGTTTCCTTGGCCAGGATCCGGAAATTATTGCGTTAGCTCAAACCTACATCCTTTTCTCCCTCCCCGACCTCTTCTCCTTCTCCCTCATCCACCCGATCCGCATCTTCCTTCGTTCGCAAGGCATCACACGTCCTCTCACCTTAGCCACCGCCCTCGCTGCCGCCGTCAACCTCCCAACGAGCCTTGTGCTGGTTAAATATTTCCGCCTAGGTGCTGCCGGTGTGGCCGCTGCCTCCGCTATCTCCAACCTTACCCTTCTTCTTTTCCTTTGCTTCTACCTCCGGTTCGGCTACTGCGGGTTCAGTCTCGGCCCGCCAACCATTGAGTGGGCCAGCGAGTGGGGCCCGCTTGCGCGTCTTGCGGCGCCCAGCTGCGTCTCTGTCTGCCTCGAGTGGTGGTGGTACGAGCTCATGATTCTTCTCTGCGGACTGCTTCCAAATCCCAAGCCAGCCGTCGCATCCATCGGAGTTTTGATTCAAACCACTTCTCTACTTTATGTCTTCCCTTCGTCACTAGGGTTCGGCGTATCAACAAGAGTAGGGAACGAGCTCGGGGCGAACAGGCCGGCAAAGGCCCGGTTGACAGCGGCTGTAGCAGTGGTTGTAGCAGCCGTAATGGGTCTTGCGGCAATGGGCTTTACTACAGGAATAAGGGATAAATGGGGAAGAATGTTCACGAACGACGGCGAGATCCTCCGGCTGACAGAAGCGGCGCTGCCCATTGTCGGGTTATGCGAACTGGGCAACTGCCCTCAGACGGTGGGTTGTGGTGTGCTGCGCGGGAGCGCCAGGCCAACTCATGCGGCCCACGTTAACTTAGGTGCTTTTTATCTTGTCGGCATGCCGGTTGCTGTTGGGTTGGGCTTTGGGCTTGGAGTAGGGTTTTGTGGCTTGTGGATGGGATTACTTGTGGCCCAGATTTGTTGTGCTGGTCTCATGCTTTATGTGGTATGGAACACGGATTGGGAGGCGCAAGCCCGTCGGGCACAGATATTGACGTGCGCCGCCGCTGCTGCCGCTGTTCGGCTACCGGCCGGCGAGTCGGAGATGGAGAACGGAACAGAAGAGAAGTGTTTAGAGCCGTTAGTTTCGATCAAGGTTGCTGAGTTTGAGAGCTGAACTTGTGGTTAATTAACTTCATTTGGTTGCTATGTGAAAACTGGTCATTTTTTTTCCAGCATTTTTTTTGGGCGGTCCGTAATTGGATAGATTTCTACTGATTAATTTGGTGCTGGGAGTTTTTTTTTTTTTTTGTAATTGCGTTTTTGTTATTTCTATTTTCTATTTCTATTTTGCGCTCGAGGAAGATACGGAGAGGATTTGGGGAGAGGGAAGAAAGGTCCCTTTTTTTTTCACTTTGTATGTTTGTACTTTATGTATGCTAAATATATAGAATTTTCTTGCTATACATGAAGAGGGCCAGATTGATGATTTATGCTAATTTTAGGCGCTATACAGTATACAGTTTGAAGAAAAAAAAAATCATCATTTGCAGATAGAAAAAATTCTATATTGTTTGAATTAACATTTTCCATGATAAATAAACTTTTTAAGTAAAATTATCGATTATTTTTTATTTCACTGGTCTATATGACATGAGAAGGCGAATTTTTATGAGATTATAATCTTCTATTTCAGAAAAAATAAATTTATTACTGCAACTTTATTAAAAATTGATTCTTCATGTGATTAATTTTCAAACGGAGCCTAAAACTTTTCAGTCTATTAAAATTAAAAAAAAAATGGTAGAAAAATTTTATTATGCGTCTTAGATCCTTAAAAGTTAATTATTTTTTTAGTTTTTCAGTTTCTTACGATGTACTTTAACCGCTCAGACAAAATGTTCAAACGGATTGGTAAAATCTATGTGCATTATTATTATGCCACCTTATGTGAAGCAGGTTTTCTAATGTAATTTTCTCAGTTCTTTCTGTGACCGTAATAAGTCCACATAATATTAAAAGGGGAAATAGCAAAATAGCCCGTGGTCGTGTTTTAGGAGACATTGACAGCATGGAAAAAGACAAACATGTCAATGTGATGAAACAGTAGAATTTAGTTATTGAGTCAAATAATTGTAACCCGTCACAATCTAATAGTGAAAGGCTTAAGGTGGAAACAAGCTCGAGTCGGCATTCTTAGTAGATGGATCACATGGGCAGTAGATTTTTGCGATGTGATGCAACTTTGATCTTTATCTTTGAAAACCCATCCATTTGTATTCTGACTTTTGAGACAGTTTCCTAATCCCTGGCAACATTTAAATATATCGGTTTCACTTTAGGCTTTACACGTTTACTTGTTCCGTAATTTAATTACATGTTTAATGTCCGGATTTTTCAAAACGGTTTCTCTTTCAATTTTTAATGTCTCGAGCAAATCGAATATATATAAGCTATAAAGACTGCCAAGTGTTCCTTATGTTTACATTTATGATATCTATTTAAATTAATAAACGAGTCAATTTTTTTAAATTGAAAAAAATTATTTATTTGGTTTCATGGATATTAAATTTTTATTTTTAAATATCAATGGTCGAAGAGAGTTTTAAGAGTTGAATATTGAAATATAAAATTAATTTTTTAATATATTGTAAATAGAATATTTTTGCATAAAATATACAAACATTCTTGAAAAATATTAAGGTTAATCTCAACTTTAAGAAGAGGCATAGATCTGCCATCCAGGGGGTCAACGAATGCAAGATCATCCCCGCCCCAAAAAATGAATGAATCATTACACCCAATAGCAATACCCAACAATTCCAAAAGAGAATAAATATCCGAATAAGCATATGAAGAGAATAAGAATTAAAGCCCAGTTGAAAAAGTAACGGTAGAATCCTGGATAACCCATGAACCAAATTGGACGACAGCAAAATTGAATGAAAGAACCATAACATAGCCCAAAGTAAATGCAAAATCCTATAATATTCTCCATTTTTCCATCTAATCTACTTAAGGGAGGCAGCCTTTCTAATGATTTCCTTCACGGTAGTGGAACTATTAAAGCAGTTTGCAAATTTTCTTGCATTTCATTTCCACCAAATATAATAAACATAACACGAAAGCAACAAAGCATATAGTTCACCCTGTCTGTGAAAGACTGACTCCTTCCCCCCTATTAAATACACCGATTGAGTGAGATTAGGATGCAAAAGAAAGTTTCTCAAACCTGGGAAAAGACCAGAGATGATGGAGAAAGTAAAGTTACACTCAAAAAATAGATGGAAAACACTCTTAAGTTTTGAATAGCACGGGTAGCAGTATGGATGAACCCCAAGGTTTCTCCTAATCAGAGCATCTACAGTTTTGAGCCCTCAAACAAAGCAAAGCCAACAAAAAACTGAAAAATCTAAGTGCATGATGCATATGGCAAACCAAACAATGCTAGTCTACTAAGCTTTCATTTTTATAATATTCTTGCAAGAAAGAGTTAAAAGTGCCCCCATTTGTAGCAGACCATTTCAAGCAAGGAGTGTTATCATCAGTATAAATAAGAATATGAAGAATGATTGTTTGAACATCAGCATGACAAGCGGCAGGCAGCTTCCAGCCACCATTATCATAGATTTCATGTAGCAGAGCATCCGTGAAGTAGGAATTAAGAAAGGAACCGTGGTGAGGAATATCATTCACGCAAACACCATTACACCAATGATCCCAAGAAAGAGACATGAGAGAATTGAGATTTACGTTAAAACAAAGTTTTCTTTAGCTTTGATAGAAGTGGTACAATTGTTATTCCACATAAGAGTAGTGTTAGAGGATCAAATCTTTCAAGGAGAACAATATTTGTTGAATAACCATAGAGATAATAAGGAGGTGTTGTTATGATCCTACAAATAAGGGAGCTAGTGTCAAAGGCAAATCTGAGTGCCAGAGGAGTTGGAATATCCAGACCCCCTATATTCTTAGGTTTGCAGACATTTGACCAGGAAACCATATGCAGTTTTTTTACAGATGAATCCTCAAAGAACAAAAATTTAGCAGAAAGTTTTGCAACTTTTACAACAACAATTAGGTAAAATAGCTCCGCAAATCCATTAGATAATTGGGTTCCAAATGATAAATCTAATAAATTGAAGCATATCTGTAAAAGAAAGAGACAGCTTCCTAATCGAAAAGCTTGTTAGTAATAACATCAAGCAGGGGTAGAAGTTTGAGAGATGGATTCTCTTAATCGAAATGGGGATGCCCAAATAAGTGATTTTGGAGAAAAAATTGGGAATATTAAAGGAGGCAAAAATGCCATTTGCAAAGGAATTACTTTGGTTAAGAATGATACAGTTTTTCTCCGGATTGCTGATAAGGACAACGAAAGATGTGATGTTGCAAGAATCCCATTCAAGATACTACAATTATGAATGGAAGCTTTCCCAAACATAAGAAGGACATCTGCATAAAGTAAATGAGATAGATGAAAACCTTTAAAATTAATTGCCTCGAATCAATTTCCAACATCAGAAGACTCAAGAAAACAAGATAAAGCATCCATGGCAATTCTGAATAAATAAAGACTAGAGAATATCCCTATCTAAGCCCAACAGAAGAGGGAAAAAACCCCTCTAAACCTCCATCCAAGTAGATAGAGAAATGCACATCCAAGATGCAAGCTTTCACCCAATTAATAAAAATAGAAGGAAACCCCTTTTGGGCCATTCTTTTTAATAGAAATCTCCTTGATATCGAATAAAATGTATTCCTAATATCCAACTTGGCACACATTATTCATAGTTATTCTCTTATTGATGAAACCTCCTTGAGTTGGAATGATAATAAGAGGTATAATATGCTTGATTCTAGAAGCCAAAATTTTGAATATGGTCTTATACAAAGTATTGCACAATGAAGTAGGTCTAAAGTCAGAAATATAAATAATATGGGAGGATTTAGGAATAAGAATAATGCTAGTAGATTTATTTCTTCTCAGTAAATAACCTTTCTAAAAAATGAGAAAATAGCCATGAAGAGAGAAGGCATCAATACGTTCCATCTAGATTTATAAAAATGGAAATTAAATCCATCAGGACCTAGGCATGAATTGGATGCACCAACGAAAACAACAGCTTTCTCTTCCTCTATAAAAATAGGGGTAGTGAACAAAGAAGATATCTGATGGGGAATAACAGCTCCATGAGGGAAATGAGACATCTCCAGCATGAAAGAAGTAGGAGGATTGTATAAATCTTGAAAATTATGAGTGATATAATTAATTACAATTGTGTGATTGCCTGAATTGCCACCCAAGGCAACAAAAATGGAAGAGCCATTGAAATTTTTCCTCAACCTAATCTTATAATAAAGGAATTTGAGATCATATTCACCATCTTTAATCCATTTGGTTTTATCCCTTTGCATAATCCAGAAAGACCATGAATAAGTGAGATGAGTTATCTCATAAATGATAAATTTTAGAGTAGTATTTAATAGTAAGTTCTTTGGGTCACTTTCCAACTGGGAAATGCAAGAATTTTTTTTTTCTTTTAAAGACATTAAAGTGGTTAAAATTACAGTGGAAGAGGACCATTCCTTAGCTTTGATACCCGACTTCACCTTAGCCAATTTATTACTGTTGCAACTCGAGCTTTCGAGTTTATGATTTTTGATGATAATAAATAATATTATTAATCTTTTAATTATGCTGGTATTTGCAATGCATATTTCTTTCTATGTTGACTAATATTTCAGGTACATCATGCACCGTTCTTTGAAGATTCAAGGCTCAAGATTGCAAAGAATTTATCGTATTAAATGAGTCTGTAATTTTCATTTATTCAGTCAAGTCTTGTAATGATGTATGTTAGTTTATTTATCATGCACACACACAGAGGGAGCAAAAAATGATTATAAATATTTTAACTTTTTTGTTCATCGTACTGTACGAATTTATTTCGTACTGTACGATCTGGTGTAATAGAAATAAATTAAAATATTTTATTTTTCCTGGAAAAATTATTTTTGAATATAACTAATCATACTGTACGATCACCACATCATACTGTACGATCTGTTATAATTAGAAAGCTCGCAGTCCATTAAATTAGGCAAAGATTTGAATTTGAAAAGTTTTTCGACTCGTACTGTACGATCCTAATCGTACTATATGATGTTTAAAACATTGCCTAATTTAATCATGTGATTATTCAATCAAAACGGCTTAATTTTGATGATTTGATTGTACAGTACGATCAATAGAGACAATTTTGTCCAACTGCCTGTTTATTGAACTGTTCATACAGTACTAACTGAACATCGGATAATACTAACAAGTCAATTTCTGCACATCGTACTAGACGATCTTGCGATTATACGATACGATATTTGACGGATGAATTGAGTTTTTTTAGGGTTTTTTGAGCCCTCTATTTAAGCACTCTCATAAGACTTTG